CGGGGCTTCCGGGTGTGACGCGCCTGCGCGTGGCCCCCTGCGCCCCTTGGCATTCATGGGCACGAGGAGGGTGGCCGTGTGGTGGTCCGCGGGCCGAGCGTAGTCTGCAGGGAGGCTCGTGGTGTGGAGCACCCGGCACCCGGCGCGCAGCCTTATGCACCTGCCGGCTCCGCTGTGCTGTCTTGCAGCCACCAGTGCACCTGCCGAGGCACCGGGTGGCAGGAGCAGAATGGAGCCCTCTGCCAGCAGGCGCACTACCCCAGCTGCGCGGGGTACAGTGACACGCCCAAACGAGGGCGTTGTCCTATCCCCGCAGCGACTGGAGACTGGGTGAAGCTTTGCAGAAAGCGCCCAGGCTGGGCACTGGATGGATCAGGGTATCCGCCCCCTGAGTGCCTTTGGCTGCGCAGTCTTTTGCTCTGGACCTGCGTCCGGGAGGGGGAGCTAGACTGAAGTCCATCTGAGGACGTGGAAGCTTTTGGCTGCCTTGTTACTAACTTTCGTTATCGGATTTTCTACATCCTGAACTCTCAATTTGCTGTTTCCTTCCACAGATTATCGAAGCAAGTTGTAAATGGCATTTACTAGGTGCAACTAGAGAGCCATGTGCCATTTTCTCCTTTCTTTTGTAGCCCAGTCTGAAGGGCTGCTGCATCCCGTGGCAAACAGCATGGACCCAACCCTGTGGCCCTGCTTTGCCATGACACCCCCAGGTATCCTTCTTGGTTCAGGCAACCCTGGGAGGATAGAGCTGTTGCCCCCTGCCTCTCCTCCCTTGCTTACAGAGCAGGAGCCCGTGCTCAAGTAACCTGCCCCAGAACATTCCTAAGAAATAACACCACCAGGGCTCAGGCCCCACCTATCTGCATCTTGTTCCTCATCCTAATCTTATTGTTCCTTGTGGAATGGTCTTCAAGGACTCTTGTCCCTGAAATCCACAGAAGTCTTGAGCAATAGTAGACATACAAAATTAAAGCAAGACAAATCCAGAGAACGGTGACTGTGAGAAGCCTTTGGAAAGGAGTGAGCTTAGCCAGACTCTGCTTGTCTGGACCCCAACCGTTTTTTCACTGACTGCTCTCAGGGAGGCCCTCTTGGGTGAGGGTGCCTTGGTCACTTTCCTGGCCTTGCTCAGCATTGTGGGTAAAGTGCCACTTCTGGATTTTACATTGTGGGTCCCTTGGAAGAATCCTCAGGAGGTTTGTAAAAAGGAAAGGTGAGGACTGAGTCCCAGTCCTGAGCTCCAAGCCTGGCATTTGAGCCTGCTTGGCGGGCTGATTTCTCAGGAAGAGACACCCTCACCATGTCCTCAGACTGACTTGATGCCCTCCTTGTCTCTCCCCCCAGGACCACGCCTCTTCTGAGGTCTCCAAGGTCTAGGCGCCCATGACACCCATGCTGACTGCCTCCTGGAGGCTGCACCGCCACTACGAGCTAGCGCCACCGCCGCTGCCGCCGGGGCCAATGCCTGTCATGCCCATCCCACGACGGGTGCGCTCCTTCCACGGCCCGCACACCACCTGCCTGCACGCAGCCTGCGGGCCAGTGAGGGCCTCGCACCTGGCGCGCACCAAGTACAACAACTTCGACGTGTACGTCAAGACGCGCTGGCTTTACGGCTTCATCCGCTTCCTGCTCTACTTCAGCTGCAGCCTCTTCACCGCGGCGCTCTGGGGCGCGCTGGCCGCGCTCTTCTGCCTGCAGTACCTGGGCGTGCGCGTGCTGCTGCGCTTCCAGCGCAAGCTGTCGGTGCTGCTGCTGCTCCTGGGCCGCCGGCGGGTGGACTTCCGCCTCATGAACGAGCTGCTCATCTACGGCATCCACGTGACCATGCTGCTGGTTGGGGGCCTGGGCTGGTGCTTTATGGTCTTTGTGGACATGTGAGGGCGTGGCCTCCGTCTGACTTGATGGGGTGGGCTGTCAGGACATTGTGCACTGGCGTCCTATAGGCGACCACTGCAGAACATGCTCCCCTTTGGGGGAGAAAAGGGCTGAGACTATTCTGTGATAGGAACCACTGCCCCTCTGGCTGGCCTCTGTGCCCCCTGCTGGCTGGGCTTCCGGCTCTGTGGTCTGCTCACCTCCTTCCAGGTCGTCCTGTGGGGTGGCTTCTGTCTGTTCTACACTTAGATTCTCTGTGACACACCCCCCACAGTTAGGCCCTACCAGTGGTTTGGGAGACCCTGGACATGGGTGTACTGCCCAGGAGCAGATCTGGACAGGGTACCCCCTGGCTGCTTGGCTCTCTTCCTGCACACCTTCAGCCCATCCTGGCCTTGGTCAGTGTTGGCCTCCACTGGCCGACACTGCACTGTCTCACAGCTGCCCACTCCCTCTCTCCTGCCTGTCACCCTGAGGGGCTATGTGGATCCCCTTGGATGGCTCAGATGCAGTCTGGCTGGAGTGCAGACAGCCTTGGCTGGTCCCTGGCACAGGGACATCCCAGGGTGTGTGGGAGCCAGGAAGAGCTCCCTCTACCTCCACCCGGCCAGGCCTGCTGAGAATGCCCCCTGTACTGCATGCTGCTGTGAGCGTGGGGTGTCTGGGAACAGGCTTTTGTCCTGTCTTCCTGTGAGACAGCACCCAGCACTGAGACCTGCCTTTCTGGAGCAGGTTCCGGGGGTGGGCCAGGCCCACCACAGAGAGCCTCCCCCAGCACTGTCCCCACCCTGCTGTGGCTGTTGAAGCATCCAGGTGTGAGAGCGTGACTGAGGGACAGGCAGGGTATCCTCGGAGCAGGGAGCACCTGGGCCCCTGATCTAGCTTCCTGTGTTGAAGGGGCTCTGGTCAGTTACGCGAGGTGTAGGACACTAGCCTGACCCTGAGGATGGCTGCTTGGTCAATACTTGCTTCACCCCAAGTTGTCCCCACTTCCTGGGTTGGGTGGTGGCCCCTTTAAACTTGCCCTGCCAGACAGACCAGTGGCCATGGATCTGTGAGGACAGTTGTGTGCCACTGAAGAGCAACTTAGGGAAGCAGAAGCTCCTGGCCACAGATGGCGCTGTAGTTTGTAACCAGCCTCCGTCCGCTGCTCTTCCAGAGGGAGGCTCCAGAGGGCGCCTGTGAGCTGGAGGGCGGGCGCAGAGCTTCCCGGACCCGCTTTTCTCCTGCTGCAGAGAATCTATTGCACTAGGTCATGCGCTTTCCTCAAGCCGCTTTGTTTACGCTCACTGACTCCTGTCACAGAATGGGCAGAGCCCCTCCAGGGCATAGGAGGAGGAGGTGGGTGCTGCAGAGCCCAGGAGGGGCTGGCTGTGCTGCCTTGAATGTAAACACCATGCCAGGGGCGACAGGACCGCTGCGTGCTGCACCCCGCTGCCCAGTGTCCCGAGTGCCTGTCGATTCTTAATGAGATGAGCCACCTGCATTAAACCTATTTTTTTAACACGTTGATGGAGTGATTGCTTAAAGCTCAGAATATTTATCTGATTTTTAAGGATAGAATCACCAACCAAAAAGACCTCAGACTACAGGAGTTTCTCTTCGTGAGGAACTTGGCCTCTGTGGAGTGGAAGTCCACATTCCGGTCCTCCTACCCACAAAGACTTCTTACAGCTCTGAGGCTACCACCACACCTGATTTCAGCCATTATGGGCAGAAAGTTACAGAAGGGAACAGGTTAGTGACAGAGAGACCCTTCCACTGTTTCTGGATGAGACAACTTGTCCCAGGGCAGCATGGGAACAGAGGGGCCAGGTTTGAGTATCGGGGCTTCTGACCACCCTGTGTGTCCCAGGCTCCAGATGCCGTGGGGTCCTGGGGGTGTCGAAGCTGGGCCCGGGTCAGCCAGGCGTGAGGGTGGCTGTGCCCATGATGGACCCTGCTAGGCTGCTCGACATGCCCAGGGGGACACCACCTTCCCAGCAGCTGCTGGCCGGCCTTGTCTTCCACGGGTCTGGGGAATCTTGCTGTTTCCGTGGGGCTGGGGTCAAGCCCAGGGTTTTGCACACGGGACAGGCAGGTGCTGAAGCACTGAGCCTTGTCCTCGTGCCCACTGTTAACCAGGCCGCCTCTGTCCAGACTGCACAGGGGCTGCTCCATCCACACTGCAGCCCCATGAGGCCACTGAGCATGTGGGCCCCAGGTGACTGAGGTCCCTTTCAAGGAGCCTCCTGGGGCTGCAGAACCACAGCTCTGAGGCACTGCCCCCGAGCCTCTGACCACCGTGTGGCACACAGACCTGGCAGTGCTGTAGGACTGGATAAGCACACCTGGGGGGCAGACCAGGGACCCCCAACAACAGCTGTGCTTCCATTGGTGGGGACACAATCGAGAGCTATGTCCCTGGGAATTCCTCTGAAGTGCCTTATTTAGAGCAAATCTATTTGCTCAT